TTTTGTTTAGAGTCGTTTAGATATTCAATCTCTTGATGAATATGAGCATCCATTAGTTTCACTTCGAGTTAAATATCCTACTCATTTTTTTTTTGTTGTTGCTATTGGAAGTCTTCACTTTGTGATTTTACAACATCATTCCATAGGGTCTGATGAACTATAGTTTCTTTGGGAACTAAAAGATTCATTTGCTTCAAGTCATTTATAATTATCTCGCCACCAGTCACGTAGCTTTCCTCTGACTTTTCTATAAATACTTTCATGGTAATTGTTCTAATGAACTTCCTTCTATTGGGGTTAGATTTTTACATATTTTTAATACTGTGGTATTTTTGTATCAGTAATTGTGATTAGCCAGATTTAATTGTGACTGAATAAGACACCTTACCCCGTCCCCCTTTTGGCTTGTGCTATATTTTTGTGTTTTTACAAAATAAATATTACTTTCTTCTATAATACCTTGACTTTATGAATTTAAACGAAGTACTAGATTGGCGGCAAGGTCATATGACAGTTAAATGCTGGATATATCTGTTAAGTACTATGCTAACGTTTTCTGTTATCGAATTTCTCACTTCTGAAATTCTCTTCCGGCTTCTTGTTTCCCAGTCAACTTTGATCTTAAAAAGTTTAAATGCAATATCAATCATTACCTCCTGTCTTCTTAATTTCTTTTTTTTCTTACTTTCCTCTCACTTAAATAGTATTTTTATTATACCTAACACTCAGTACCCCTTTCGTCTTATTGGCTTTATTGTCTTTCTTGAGATGATATGATTAAATAAAATCACTGATCTGAGATAATGGTTTTGTAAAGGTGGCATGCATTAGTTTTCTGGTTAATATTTTTGGTTTTGTAGAATCTTATGACGTTGAAAAAATTTAATTCAAGCACAATCCATCGTGTGTTCACCTTCTTTATTTATACAATGAGGTATCGTGCAATGGTAGATTTGGAACGATCATCAAATCGCAACCAAAAACACAATATAAGAATTGCCATTCTACGAGAGGCCCTAAGCAAGTGTTTCTCAACCTTTTCTTAAGCAACAACACGCCTAGTAGCAAATGAAAATATCACGACACACTTAGCAAAAAATTTAAAGGGTAAACAACTATCTATGCAGTTTATTTTGGGTGAAACCAGTAACGTGTTTTCTCGCGATTTCTTCAATGTTTTGTCGAATGTGTGATAAGCAGATTTTCAGTTCTTCAGTTGAGCCTAGTCAATTATACTTCATATTTTTATGTTATTTAGGGTAGAGAAGCCAAATTCATATAAATAAAGTATTAGAAAATTGCAATAAAACTGGTAAATCATTTTTGGCTAATGTGAGGTATTCCTTTTCTATTGAATTCCAAAATGGGTACCGAAGAATGTTTTATTTTGAACACTCGATCACTAGAAATGGTGGCTAATTCATCTTCACATAACTTAAGTCCAATATTAGAAGGAACATTTATGAGAGGATTTCGATTCCAATTATAATTTCCTGTGCTAAATGACGGAAAATACTAGTCGATGTTTTCATCGAGTGCTTTCAGATGGTTGACCATGATAGGGATCATTTCTTTAATGCAAGCAGTACGCATCGAAGATTAATGAAAAGGATTATTTGAAAAAAATAATCGAGATTAGCATATACTAGGTTGGCCAGAAAATCCTGAATCACTTAGGAAAGGGAAAGAAAACAACAAGTCTTGAACTCTATCGGGTAGAATTTCCAAGGAGTACTGCTATTGAGTTTGTTGCACAAGCCGCGCCATCAGCTAGACCGCGTGTATGACAAACTAAAGAAGGAGTATCCTGCTTTGCTCAACTGGGGTCGGGCTTTGTTTCAGCAAGGTAATGGGAGGCAACACACTGTCAACTTGACTATGAAGAATTGACGGTGTTGACATTCTTCCACATCCACTATTCAGTCCCGATTCTGCTCTAAGTGACTATGGCCTATTCTGCTCAAGGACACACTTCCTCTGCGATCAGCGATTTCAACACTTTTGATGAAGGAAGCTTGTTTACAGTTTGTTTTGTTTTGTTTTGTTTTTTTATTATTATTATTCAGAGACAGCGGACTGGTATCTGGGACAGACTCAGATGCTGGCTGATTTTTTGGCAAAAGATCGCCGAGAAAGATGGACTTTATTTTGAAGAATAAATGTTGGTGTTGCTTCATCAATTTTGGTTTTTTTTTTCCGCTCCCTAAGTGAGTCAGGACTTTCTGCCAATTTAATATATATTGTATTTTTATTTTCTGGAATTGATTCTATTATAAAATTTATGCCATATATTTTGCATGCAAATAATTCTGGTGTTATTTTTGTGCTAGGTTCCAAAGTTACAAGTTTTAATATGACTGGTGGTTCGAAACGATGCATATGAAACAAGAATTAAGTAAATATGGACAGACTGGAAAGCAAATTCAAGAAAGTATTAGGCCTTTCTTGTAATTATAAATTTGCCTCTGACCAAAATGCGCAGTGTTCGAACCCAGCTAATATACCAAAGATTAGAATGCCAGTTTCCTGTCATTCTACAACTTACGTTTTCCTTTGTGTTTAGCTTTATGTCAGACAAAGTTAAGAATGATTAATATAAAAAACGACAAAAATTACGATCTACATCCTAAAGTCGTTGAATGTTCAAAAAGATACAAATCTCGGAAAAATAGCAAGAATTTACACTATTTACATTGTTCGGACTGTTGTCCTTATCTTTATTAGAATATTCACGACGTTCCCGTCGTTGTAAGCTTCGGCCTTCTTCAGGTGTTATACGTTGGAATTTCGAATCGAACCCTTTTTTATCCACCGATGCAGATTGTTCTATTTCCGCGTGTCATGCCTTTTCTGGATATCTCAGGTTCAGTTATTGTCCATTACTAACTCAACTCCGGATGTTTTGTTTTGTGGCCAGATATTGAACTCACAATTCTTTATGGATTACTTCAACTAATGTTTTTATCCAATGACTCATGGCTCAGTGAATAAAAGCGTTGGTTGAAGTAATCCAGTGGCTTGAACACTGTAAAGAGTATAAATAATTACGATACCATATCTCAGAAATTTATGACCGATATTCAGGAATTTATTAGCAATTGTTTATGATTAATAATAATTCACGTCTATGACATAATTATTGTAGAATATATTTAGATATATTTGTGGGACGAATATGAGCATCTATTTCCTTTTGAATGAAGAAGCCTGATTCTGTCATGAATTTTGGGAGTGAAAAAACTGGGAATTAACGAATATAATTACATGGAAGAATACGAAACTGCATAAAAAGGTTCCAGGGATGAAACCTCATTAGAAAAAATCCAGGTTCAAGATTTCCTCATTCCTTAGAGGAAACTTTCTCTGATTAACCATGTCTTCAGGAGTATAGCCGTACACGCCACACTTGGTTATTTGTGTGTTGACGAGGCTATTTAATCCATAAGTGGAGGTTTGGGATATGTGTACCTCGGTTGTTACCCAAGACTATAGATCTCAGTCAGCTATTTACTGATATCTGGTAGAGAGAAGATGGCTTCATAACTTTCTGAATTTTATTTTCATGTAAGTGAATGTAATGAACTCGACTGGATTTAGATCTGGATTCTCCAATTCCTCAAATTGAGCCGCTATGTGACGCTATAAAGGTCACTGGTGGTAGTTGAAATGAAAGTGATACTATCGTGACTAGTGGTTTGGAATTAGTATTAAAAGGGTTCATGTGAAAACCCTGTATAGGAATGGATCTTTAGAAGAGTTGAAAAAACGTTAAATAATAAAACTTTAAAGTGAGAAACAGGAATTGAAATATGAAGTATGGAACAAATGATGTTTTCTGATAAGCACAAATGCACATAAGAGTTGTTATGAGTTCCTGAAAAAGGTCGGAATGTAAAACAGTAGAAAAATTTAAAGTAAATACTTTTGTTTTTGAAAGTTGACTGTGCTAGTATTTGAAGGTCATTTGTTGGTGGAAAATTGAATATAAGTGAAATCAGAAATGTAAACAAAAGGAATTGCTGAATGGAATGTAGAGTTCAGAATATGGTTTGGAGAAATGTAAATAATCTGAAGTGTGTTTCGAAAATGAACACAAGAACTATTTGGGTCAGGATTTGGTAAATTGACAACCAAAAGAAATTGCTCATTTGAAATAAAATTTATTGACGAGAAAATTATTGTTTGGGAAAAGAAAAGAATTTCTAAAAACAAAGTTTCTTATTTTGAAATATCGGACCGCTTTGTTTAGGGTCGGTGCAGTATGTCCATGGTTGGAGAAAATAATTAAGTGATGAATAGGTAATGAGCTTTGAGGGTTGGTGAGAGTTGGGCAAGATGAATATAAACCGAAGGGTAGGTTGAAGCGGACAGTAGGAGCTGCCGTTAGAAAAGGCTGAAACGAATCAGCAGCAAACGAGAAAGCTATTGAACCTATTTGACCTTCCCATAAGGTTGCACCACCTAACATCTCGTGTAAATGTTTAACCCGGTGCAAGTTTTAGAAGCAAGAGATAATGAGTGACGATAAACAGTCGAATGGGGAAGGTTAACTTGGTTGTATCAACGATTATATAAGCACATTGATAATTAACATAGCGGCTTTCTTCGTTATTTATGATTTTTGTGTTTTTACCGACGGAAACATTCTTGTCCTTTTTCATAATCCGGTCCCGCCAACTCGATTCAGCGCTTAAATGCAGACGGAATTTCGATCTTCACTGCAGTGTGATCAAAGAACACAACGTGAGCAGAGCAGATGAAGGACCGAAGCGGCCAACAGATAACCATCAGCTGACTGGTGCCAGTACTGGCCAGCATGGGTGGGACCCCGGATCGAGCCGGGCCGGACGTGTTTTAGCTATTCATTATCCCACAATGCCTCCAAACCATGCATAAATACGCAAACATTAAGACGTTATTTTTTTTTTAATTTAAAGAAATATCGACCGTTGTTAAGTTCTTTAACGTCAGACATATCTTATAGGACAAAACAGGTTTACGGATATATCATGTTTAAACACCAGTTCTCGTCCGATCACCGAAGTTAAGGAAGTCTGAACCTGGTAAATACTTAGATGGGTGACCACTTGGGAATACCAGGCGCTATAAACTTCGATATTCGGGTCGTGTAATGGATAACGGCTCCAAATTGAAAATCGGCTTATCAAACATTTTCGCGTTATTCAAAGCCAGAATTTTTTTTATTAGGCTGTAAGAATTTTTTAGAAATAATAATGATTTAGTGATACAAGTTTTGCTAATTAACCTATAGCTGGAGGTAGGAGAGGTGGATTCTTACTTTTTCCAAAGGTGTTTACATGTAAGGGAACACAACTGGAATTGGAACACAACTCTTCGATTAACGATTCCGAGCCATTATCCATTACACCATCCACACTCCAAAGCTTATAGCATCTGGTATTCCCAAGCAGTCAGCTATCTAGGTACTGATCAGGCACGACGTTGCTTAACTTCGGTTATGGTACTGAAACCGGTGATGTGGCACTAAGCCCCAAATGTACGTGTGATAAGACATTGCTTGTGTGTGTGTGTGTACGTACTTAAGAGGCAGGGTGCTAAAATATTCTTGAATAAGAAAGGATTGCATAAAATTCTGATTTTTGTTCATTTGGTCAGATTTTAGGAATTTATTTAGGCCGAGAACTTTTCAGAACCCCAATTATATATATATATATATATATATATATATATATATATATATATATATATACACTGTGTCGTACACTTCCTGTTTTTTACACTATAAAATAAATATTTATTGGAATCTAAAAGTCCATTTGTTTAATTATGACAACATTTATCTGTGCACTTAGAATAACTGATTCGCTCTGCGTAAATGTAAAAAAAAAGGCATCCATTTGCATGAAATGTTCTCAATTTCAAAGTCTAAAATTGAGGCATGTTTTTGAGATTGAAGCTTTATCATGGAAAATAATGCTGATTTACCGGATAAAAGAAAAATTTAGAACTTGAAGAAATAACTCAAGAAATAACAAAAATGTAAAGAATATGTATGCTAAGGGTAATTTGAGGAATTTATCTTGCGGATCTGTGTCTCATATTCTGAGAGAATTCATGAAAAACACGTCTTTATCAAGTTATTACATTTTTAATCATTGTGGCAGCGAGGAAGTTTTGAACACTAGATATGAATAGCTGAAAAAACACGTTGATTTGTCGTGAAGTCCTGTATATACTGATAAAAAAATGGGATTGTTCCTTTTTATACCTGACCCTAAAATTTTATCCACTTATTATTCAAGTTATTTTTACCTTTAACATAAACACGCAAATTCGATGATCATATTTCAAATAAGTTATCAACGAATATTATTGTGTCAGAAGTTAATTGGCGCCAAAATCGTAAACGCCTGGAAAAATGTGGTGTCGAAATTGTGAGGTTAATTATTCGAACTGGCATCATCACCTTGTTTCATGACGTTCAATGGATTCTTTGCTTTTTCGTTTTTTTTTTGTTTTTTTTTCAGGTTTATACCGAAACAGTAAATCATCAATTCTTTCCTTTCTCTAACCTAAAATTCTGCGTTCATCGAGGTGCAAAGTTTCGTTTGGTGTAGCTAATTAGCTAGGAAGATAATTTCATGACTATTACACTAATATCAAAGTTAATTAAATATATTATAATGAATCTTTCGATGGTGCGGAGTAGAAGATAAAATTAAACATATATATATATATATATATATATATATATATATATATATATATATATATATATATATTCAATATGTTTTCGATATTATTTTATAATTTTTTCGATACTTTTTAAGAAATTCTTTTAGGTTATTTTAAGTTTTAATTTTAAATTATGAATTTAAGATTCAAAATCTAAAATTTGAAACTTTAGATTTTAATTATAATTTTTATACTCCATAATTGTTATTTAAAACCACCATTTTTTTACACTTGGAAAGGTGATCTGATGAGCCAGGGAAAAAAACACCTACCTGGGGAAATAAAATATAATCAATGGACCCTTAAGGTTGTCTGTTTTTAATTAAGTTAAATTATATATATATATATATATATATATATATATATATATATATATATATATATATATATATATATATATATATGAAGGTATATTTAGGCAGCAAGTATTCAATTTTGATTAAAAAGAAGCGACAAGTGCTGTTTTTGTTTAACGCTTTATAAAAGTCAATACCCTTCATATCTCACCTAAAAGAGCATTTTGTGGGTGCAGTTCTGGTTTGGGGATAGGTTCTTCTTTTTCTGTGGGTGATAGCCATATACCTTCTCGAAAGACATGGTTATAGAGAGCCCACTTGTGATAATAATATCCAAGAAATTTTCAGTAGAAAATCTCTTCAATGATGATTAAGATTAAAAGCAATTAAATAATAATGGGCCGATTGAGGAAGCTGAGACATTCTTCCGAGTTCATGAAGGTGTTTTATGATCGAAGTGTGATTTGTATCGAAATGTTTTGTTAATTCTTGCGATTAATGTTTAAGATTTTCCTCAATTAAAGTTTGCAAAAACTCAGTATTGACATAACATGGTCGTCCAGATCCAGATAAAACTTCGAGAGAAGGATTACCCGATTGGGACTCACCAAAACACCGTTGAGATGTCCAGATATTTAAAGCCGCTACCGTTACTGATGAGCCTTTTTATTCATACAGGGCATGATGTGATCCAATCTCATTTTAAATGGGTAACATCCATATAGTAATGGATCAAATTTGATCTTGAGTAAGCTGAAGAAAAAACATTGGAACCTAAAAATGTATGGTTATTTTAATGTGAGTATTGAAAAAGTACGTTCAAAATTATCATGCCACATATGCAACTGGGATTTCTTTCCAAGCATAGATACATACATAAATAGAGTGTGCAAATACATACACAGATAAAATGCATTTGAGAAATGACAGGTTACAGGTATTTAAAATAAAAATGATAAATATACATCTATCCATGTGTCTAAAAGTTAGGATATTTGAACATCTCACACAAAAAACAGAAAAGATTTTGTCAAGACGTTTTTGCACTATACAGACCTAAATCGAGTTCGAAAGAGATTTTGGAAATTAAGAATTTGCATCACCAATCTGCCCGAAATTGTCATTAGCAAATACACAGGAACTCATTTAAATTTATGATTATCATTGATATACTTGTAATATACATATATGTGTGTACGTGCGCGTGTGTGTGAATGCACACGTGTGCGTGTGTGTGTGATTTCATCATTTAGAGAGAAAAAAATTGCTTATTTTTGAGTGACTTTCACGTATCATTAGAACAGTCTTTAAGCTCTTGTATATTTTTCGTCTCTGTTTATCACGTGAATTTATTATATGTTCTATGTAAGATTTATAAATATATATGATTGCAATATCTATATGTGGATATATATTTGTGATAAATCATGTATTTATACATTACTAGCAAACATACACAAACACACACACACATATATATATATATATATATATATATATATATATATATATCGTAAGTTGTGTAGGCGAATATAGATAAATCTAAGTGTATTCATGCGCCATTACGTCTTGATTTTATTTATGTCTGTTTGCACACACCCGTGGTTAAGTCTATATAAGAAATCCTTTGATGGATGGTTCCAAGAATTTCTTTGATGTTTCAAACAGAATTAATTTAATTCTCTCGAATTAATTTTATACGAAGAATTTTTTTCTTTCATTTTTCTTTCCTGCTCCTGATCCGATTGTCTGCCATTTTTTGGCACCCCAGTTTTCACTATTTTTTAATATTTTTGCTTAAATCTGAAGCCATTTTCTTAGCTGCTTTTCACAGATTTCATATTAAAAATTTGGACTTTAGAATATTCAACCAAATTATTTGTTTATACCTTATGTTGGAGATCAAATATGAAATTTATAGGTTGTATTGTAATGAAATTTGGTTCCTGATTAATTGATACGAAAAGGCTTTACTATTCATCACTTAGCATTTTATTCCCTCCAATATTTTGTCAGTTACTTTCGGCTAGTGTACGAGTGAAGTGCCCCCCAAACTCTGATCCGATACGTGTACCTTACATTATATGTGCTATGTGCGGGAGACTACCCAATTCGTTTCTAGTGTTGTTGTTTATATATCAATCTGTTAAACATTCTTATTTCCATGCATATAATAATGGATGCAGGTGTGAAAAATACGTACCTTTGTACTGCGTGGATGGGATTAACTCCAGGTAAACCTCCTAGTGCACTCATCATCCTTGATAGCCTGATGTGAAATTTGAGTGCAGTGTCTATTTATTCTCTTCATAATATGTTATTGCCATTCCTTTCATTCGTGTCAATGTCGCTATTTCACTGAAGCATTTTTCGATTTAATTGAAATAATCTTGTGTATGACATTTCTAAATGAGTATAAACCCATTTTTCTGATAAAAAATGTAATGACAAAAAATGTGTGGCTATGGTTGTTAATTTCTGGAATCAAAATATATTTTGGTAATGTTTTATTTGATCTGTTTATTTATAACAGAAAATGTACGCTTACTCAATTACTAACAAGAGAGACGCGATTTCATTTCTGACTAGCTTAAAATTAAATCTAAAAATATCAAGACACCAAATGAAAGAATAATGATCCGAATTTTTTTTAAACCGGATATGATATTTACAATATTTTATGGAGTAGGATATTTTTAGATCAACTATAATAACAATGGACGTGCGCGTAACATAACAGCCATCTGAAAGTGGCAATAGCGTTATTAAACCCCAGTTGAGATCATTGTATTCACTTTCGCACAAATACACCGGTAAATGTTTGAATCCATCTCTCCCCACAACAACTAGTGGTTGATAGCAGGATTTACTGGGCTATTCAGCATTGGTTGGCAACTAGTCTAGGAGAAAGACAACTCAAATTCAAAACCGGTTGAGCGTAAGGCTAGCAACTTCGTTACGTGCTTAATATTTTCATAAAGAACCAAACTGACTTTGTAATAATCGTTAAGAAGAATAGTAAGATATATATATATATATATATATATATATATATATATATATATATATATATATTCGACAAATTATATATG